CTTGGGGACAGCTTGGGGACATTGGGATATGGGACAGGGACACGCTGGGTGCTGTACCACGAGCTGGTGTGCACCTCCAAGGAGTTCATGAGACAGGTGGGGACATTGGGGACATTGGGGACATCCTGGGGACACCTTGGGGACATTGGGGACATCCTGGGGACATTGGGGACAGCTGGGGACACATTGGGGACAGCTTGGGGACAGTGGGATATGGGACAGGGACATGGGGACACGCTGGGTGCTATACCACGAGCTGGTGTGCACCTCCAAGGAGTTCATGAGACAGGTGGGGACATTGGGGACATCCTGGGGACATTGGGGACACCTTGGGGACAGTGGGGACACTTTGGGGACAGTGGGAGATGGGACAGGGACACGGTGCGGGTGTGGTGTCCCCAGGTGATCGAGATCGACAGCTCCTGGCTGCTGGAGGTGGCCCCTGTGTCCCCTGTGCAGCCGTTCCCCCGTGTCCCCACTGTCCCCGGGTGTCCCTGTTTGATCCCAGTTTATCCCAGCTGTCCCCAGGTGATGTCAGGGATGTCCCCAGCTGTCCCCAAGTGTCACAGCTGTCCCCCCCGTGTCCCCAGGTGATCGAGATCGACAGCTCCTGGCTGCTGGAGGTGGCCCCTGTGTCCCCTCTGTCCCTTCCCTGGGTGTCCCTATTTGATCCCAGCTGTCCCCAGTTTATCCCAGCTGTCCCCAGGGATGTCCCCAGCTGTCCCCAGGTGATGTCAGGGATGTCCCCAGCTGTCCCCAAGTGTCACAGCTGTCCCCTCCATGTCCCCAGGTGATCGAGATTGACAGCTCCTGGCTGCTGGAGGTGGCCCCTGTGTCCCCTCTGTCCCCTGTGCAGCCGTTCCCCCGTGTCCCCGCTGTCCCCAGTTTATCCCAGCTGTCCCCAGGGATGTCCCCAGGTGTCCCCAGGTGTCACAGCTGTCCCCTCCATGTCCCCAGGTGATCGAGATCGACAGCTCCTGGCTGCTGGAGGTGGCCCCTGTGTCCCCTCTGTCCATTCCCTGGGTGTTCCCACTGTCCCTGGGTGTCCCTGTTTGATCCCAGCTGTCCCCAGGTGATGTCAGGGATGTCCCCAGTTTATCCCAGCTGTCCCCAGGGATGTCCCCAGCTGTCCCCAGGGATGTCCCCAGCTGTCCCCAAGTGTCACAGCTGTCCCCCCCTGTCCCCAGGTGATCGAGATCGACAGCTCCTGGCTGCTGGAGGTGGCCCCTGTGTCCCCTGTGTCCCCTGTGCAGCCGCTCCCCTGTGTCCCTGCTGTCCCCAGGGATGTCCCCAGGGATGTCAGGGATGTCCCCAGCTGTCCCCAGGTGTCACAGCTGTCCCCTCCATGTCCCCAGGTGATCGAGATCGACAGCTCCTGGCTGCTGGAGGTGGCCCCTGTGTCCCCTCCTCCGTGTCCCCTTGGCCCCAGGGATGTCCCCAGCTGTCCCCAGGGATGTCCCCAGGTGTCCCCAAGTGTCACAGCTGTCCCCCCCTGTCCCCAGGTGATCGAGATTGACAGCTCGTGGCTGCTGGAGGTGGCCCCCCATTATTACCAGGCCAAGGAGCTGGAGGACGGCAGCGGCCGCAAGATGCCCAAGAAGGCGGGGAAGGCRCGCGAGGAGCTGGGCTGAGCCTCGGGGACACCTCGGGGACACTTTGGGACACCGTGGGGACRTTTTGGGGACACTTTGGGACACCCCAATACAGCCCCCGCCGAGGGGCGGAGCATCGGCGCCCCTCCCCCCGCGTGTGCCGGGGACGCCGCTGTCCCCGATGTCACCGCTGTCACTTTATTCTGTACATTAACTTAAGGGGGGGAGGGGACACGGGGGGTGACAAAGGGGACATTCCGAGGGGGGAGGGGCGGTCCGGTG